GGGGGTCGAAGGGAAGGGTGGGTCTGTATGGCTGCAAGGCGGATGCACACTCGCTGATCTCTCCCTTTATCCTCCTCCATTCAGGGCACGGAGCTTGGACCGAGTCCCTGTGAGCTGGAGACAGACCATGGGCCGCCGACCTGCCCGCTGGTGAGAGGGGAGAGGATCCGCAATATCACGCGCCCCTCCACCCCCCCGCGCTGCCCGCCCATCACCCAGCATCCCGTCTAAAACAAGACTCGGGGCTTTGTATAGATTCCCGAGTGCTATCCTGCTTCCCTTTCCCCCAATATTGAATTCTCAGCGCTGCCTCATGAAGTTGAATAGCTGCTCCTCTTGACGTGGCTGCCTCTGTCTTTTTCCTCCTTCCACATATACAGGCTGTGTGGAGAGAGGTTTGCTGTGAAGCTGGAGGTTAGCTACATACATGCACCCATGCAAAATCACGCCCCCAGGGTCCCTGTTAAACTGTTCATGGTTTTCCCCTACCCAGTGAGTGCAGGAGGGAACAATGCAGTAGCTTGGTGCTGCCCACTGCAGCTGATCAGCTTCTCTGGATTCTAGAGTAGTTCTTTCTATGCACTGGTGTGTAGAGCCTGTGGGGTGGTGCTGGTCACAGCTGACTTACCTTTTCAGGCATTTCAGCAGTGTGCACTGCAGCCAGTTAGCTTCAAGTGTGAATTTGCCCCTGGTGGGGGTGCGGGGAAGCAGGGAGGGTGAGCTGTTTGATTCCGAAGCTGCCTGCTTGCTGTCATCTCCTCACTTTGTGTCTCTAACTCTGTTGTCTTTCAGTTACAGATACTGTAAGAACAAGCCTTACCCCAAGTCCCGCTTCTGTCGGGGTGTCCCAGGTTTGTATTCTGCTGCAGTTTTCCCCTCTCTTCTCCTCTCTCCCCCCACCCCAGTCTTTACGATAGAACCAGTCCAGAGCTGATTGGGTAATGGAAATATGGGACACTGTCATTCCACTTGTGTTGAATTTATTTGAGATCGGTGCGAGGGGTTGGGGGGGGAGGCTCTCAATGGCCTGGCTTTAATATTTCAGCCCAAGACCCCCTCTCCCATTGCTTTGTGATGCTTCATTCCTGGTTGTGACTATGGATTTTTTTTCTCCCTCACCACCCCCACCCACTGCAGATCCTAAGATCCGGATTTTTGATCTGGGGCGTAAGAAGGCGAAGGTGGATGAGTTCCCACTGTGTGGCCACATGGTGTCTGATGAGTACGAACAGCTGTCTTCTGAAGGTAAGTGGAGGTGACACTGTTCTTCCACATAGAATCCCTACAATGTGGAAACAGGCCCTTTGGCCACACTGACCCTCAGAGCATCCCACCCAGACTCATTCCCCGTAACCCACCGAACCTACGCATCCCTGGGCACTATGGGGCAATTTAGCACGGCCAATCCACCCTAACCCGCACATCTTTGGACTGTGGGAGGAAACCAGAGCACCTGGAGGAAATCCACGCTCACGGGGAGAATGTGCAAACTCCACACACAGTTGCCCAAGGGTTGAAACGAACCCGGATCCCTGGCGTTGTGAGGCAGCAGTGCTAACCACTGAGCCACTGTGCTGGCCCATGGTGGAGAATGTGGGAATTCCTTGATGCTGACCCTTTTGGCAGCATGGGGCGCCGCTCAGCATTGATATCAGGGTCTGGACACCAGACGCTCAGTCGGGAAGTTTTGTATCTCTGGATTTGCCATGTGCCTCATGCTTCTACCCTCTCTCTCTCTCTCCTCTCCCCCCAGCTCTGGAGGCAGCCCGTATTTGTGCAAACAAGTACATGGTGAAGACTTGTGGCAAAGATGGCTTCCACATCCGGATGCGTCTCCATCCGTTCCATGTGATCCGTATCAACAAGATGTTGTCATGTGCCGGTGCTGATCGGTGAGGGATTGCGCATCCAGCTGCTCCTCGATCTTAACAACTTTGTGTGCAGGGGCAACAAAGTGAAGACAAAAGATATTTATAATGGGGGTGGGGATGGCTCTGACTGGACAGGGTGTAGTACAGTGTACAGCTTCGTCCCCTCGGGGAAGGATAGACTCTCTCTGGAGATAGCAAGAATTGCTGATGCTGGATTCGCAGATAACAATGTGGAGCTGGAGGAACACATCAGGCCAGGCATCAGAGGAGCAGGGAAGCTAATGTTTCTGAAGAACGATCCTGACCTGAAACGTCAGCTTTCCTGCTCCTCTGATGCTGCCTGACTTGCACTGGAGGTTGTTCAAAGAATGTTCCTTCAGTTGATTGCTGGGATGAACGGGTCTGTCCTCCAGGATATTGCTAATAGCTGCTGAGACGATGATTCACCCCACCTCCCCAACCATTTGGGAGGATACCTACAACTGGGTTTTGTTATGGGATGAGGGTGTTGCTGGCCAGGCCAGCATTTATTGTCCATCCCCCTAATTGCCCAGAAGGCAGTTAAGAGTCAACCATATTGCTATGGGTCTGGCGTCACATGTAGACCAGACCAGGTAAGGATGACTGATTTCTTTATGAACCAGATGGATTTTTCCTGACATCAGTAATGGGTTTGTAGGCACCATTAGACCCATAATTGTGTGTTTTTATTGAATTCCGATTCAACTGTCTGCCATTCTGGGTCCCCAGAGCATTAGCTGGGTCTCTGGATTAACAGCCCTGTGATGATACCACTAAGCCATCACCTCTCCCTAAAGGTTGGAGGCTTGGATTCAGAATGAGGGTCTTCCAATTTAGACAGGTGAAGAGTTTTGATCGAGGGGGTCAAGGTAATGGGGGAAGCAGTCAGAATCAGATCACTGCAGTTGGATTGAATGGAAGGGCAAACCTGATGGACTGAATGGCCACCTCCTCCTGTTCCTGTGTGACAGGTTTGATCTTGTTTTTAATTGTTTCAGGATTGTTGTGAAATAGTTTGTGCACTAATCCATTATGTGCCCCCCCACTCCCCCCCCCCCCCCCCCCTACAGCCGGCTGACGAGGGTGGGAGGAGCTTTTGGCAAGCCCCAGGGCACTGTTGCCCGGGTGAATATTGGGCAGGTTATCATGTCAGTGCGCACTAAAGCCCAGCACAAGGAGCATGTCATTGAGGCCCTGCGTAGGGCCAAGTTCAAGTTTCCAGGCCGCCAGAAGGTAAGTGAGAGTTTTCGGGGGTGGGGGAAGCTGACCTGAGGGATAGGAGTCAGGACTTGAGGCCCCATCCCCTCCCCACCTGGCTGTGCCCAGCTACCTCTTTGCAGTTAATTAAGCCGACCAGCTTCTTGTGTGGAAGTTCTGGTGTGCAATGGCTGCATACAGTAAACTCTCTCTCTGGTTGTGTACGTGCTCTGTTGGTCTGTACAGAGTGCCTTAAGGGACCTCCGAGACAGGCCCTGGCTGAACATCAGTCAGGTATGACTCCCACTGGATGGGAATGTGTCTGGGGAGTTTTTATTTAATGTGTTTTCAGTCTCTCTTCTAACCCTTTTGATTGCTGACCCCTGTCTCTGTCTCCCTCAGATCCACATCTCGAAGAAGTGGGGCTTCACAAAGTTTAACGCGGAGGATTTTGACGATATGGTGGCGGAGAAGCGATTGATCCCTGACGGCTGTGGGGTGAAGTACGTGCCAGAACGTGGCCCCCTCAGCGTCTGGCGAGCCCTGCACGCGGTGTGAGCGCTCATTCTACAGTACAGCTTTTACCATTAAAAGAAATATCTTCATCCCCTGACCACTTGTGTCTCTGAGTCTACACTCTGGGGTGGGGTGGATGTGGAGCAGCGGAGGAGAAAGGGGCAGGGATAATGGGGGGGGTGTCTTGTCTCCTGTGTGGTCTTGGGAACACGGGTCACTGGGGTGAGGGGGACGTTCAGGGTAAATTTGGAATGGGAAGAGGAGTTGGGCTGTGGGGGTGCAGTTTGTGAAGAGGGAAGGGAATTGGCGTGGGGGTGCCTGAATGAGTTGCCTTGCACCAGTTGAAGTGGTAAGTCTCATCTGAGAGCTGCCACCCCCACCGAAGTTGTACTCCTTTGAGACTGGGCTAACCTGTCTGTGCAGCTCCAAAATAACAAGCCAACCCAATCTTCCACATCAATAAACTTCTACATTTAACCATTCAAGGAACAGAGTCCACTCTCTCCTCTCAATTTCATGATCTTCTGTTCCCCTTGGTTTTTTCCAAACTGCATGGACGAGGGTAAGGAACTGATGTCTCCCCTGAGCAACCCTTGTTGCTTACAGAAGGTCATCAACAAAGGAGCTCCCTGCAATCCATATTGCGAATCCGAAGGAAACTTGGACTGAGTGAAGGTCAGAGTTCACTGTGGGTGTCTCTTTCCAGTTTAATTTCCACCTCCACTGGGTAGTGGTCACTCACTGCTCCAGCCTGTGGGATTGAAACATGACGACAAGACAGGTTAAAAGTGGAGCTCTAGTGGGTCTATCAGTCAGCATGCAACTTGCCAAAGGTTGTGTCCCCACCTCGTCCTTGGACAGTCTGAACTCCACCTGGAAATGGAATGCCTTGGCTGATCCAGGCACAATAGCACTGTGAAACTTGGAGCCGTGTGCGATCATCCTGCAAGACAAGGTGAAGGAGGTGGGGGTGAGTTTGACAGAACGGTGAGGAAGGGCAGTTAAACCTCAGTACCTATTTCACGCGAGGCCATTCAGCCCCTTGAGTCTGTATTGAATGGCAGAGCAATCGTGGTTGAGAAAGGAGGGAGGGCTTTGCTGAAACTACAAGGTGCTAGTCAGTGCAAAGCTGGGTTACTGCTGATTAGTTTTGAGATCCCTTACCTAAAGAAAGATGGCCTGTCCTTGGAGGCAGTCCAGAGGAGGTTCATTCAGCTGATCCTGGGTATGGAGGGAACCCTCTGGGGAGGGCCTGTACTCGCTGGAAGAATGAGAGGTCACCATCTTGAAAGACAATATCCTTGTGGAGCTTGACGGGAGATGTGGTGAGTTTTGGGCCCCATCTCCACAGAAGGAAGTATGGAAGGGGGTCTGGAGGTTCTCTCCATGGGAACTAGGAATCACTTTTTGGCTTTGTCAGTTGTGTGGGGGAGTGGGGGGTGGAAAATGATCTTGGTGTGAAGAAGAA